AGTTATTTGACCATATCAAGGGAAAAAAATAATCAAAGAAAAACAATAGGTTTTGCTGTGAACCCCTAATATTTCGGAATCATGCAGAAGGGATAGGCCTACACCATGGCAGCTGGAAGATGTTTTGGGTTGATTTCGATTAATCAGGGGGTGCTGCAGCACCCTCAGCACCCCTACTTTCTACGGCTATGGCCTACACTAATCTGCTCCCTGACAGGTTGAACATTGTCAACCATGCTCACTTAATTAAATAATTCATAAAATGTAACTTTTGGGAGCATACATGTGTAGTGTACCCTGTCTGAATTTGAGATAATGGTGAAAGACACCTTTGAGAGTTGGTGAACAAAATCCTATAATGATGATTGACATTGCCAGACGGAAGGATGTAGGTCCTTCCTCACAAACCTTCTAGGACTACAGCTAGACCCACGTGAGATTAGCTGAAGCCCACAGGTGTGTCGTCTCTCGCTTCAGACCGGTTGGACAGGTATACAGAAGCCGATCTTCGAACGCCCCCGCTCGCGTGAATCGACCTTGGCTTGACTGGTCGGACCGGTAAGAGCTTCATTCCTTACGCGATCATAAAACCTGTTTGAGCTGCCAATTACAAAGTTCTGCATATATACAGGGCCTTGTTGGTGAAAGAAGCACAGTCGGGATTTGAGTGCTTGGAACTCACTGTCTCCAGATGAAGACGAAGATGCCATTTCTATTTTACTAGGCTACAGTATGTCGACTTTGGAAAATCTGGATTTGCGTTCAATATATTTTCCCTCTCTTTTTCGTGCCTTTTTTTGGGCTGATGAATAGGAAAGATTTTACCTCATTGGTCCAGTGGTTCTAAATAGTTCAACAGTCTTTACCGAAATTGTGAAATGTTTAGGACCACTTGATCAGCGCAAGGGAACTTTCTACCCCAGCCGTTGGACTTCCATCACTCCACAAAGGACGTTTCCAAAGACCAGTGATTGAACAGAGGTAGACTGCTGTAGGCCTATCTGTGAATTTTATCCTTTGAAACTGACCACATTTACATGTTCGTTGGTTTATCGTTGCAATAGTTACTGATTTAGACGTGCTACATCTATTTGAAAATGTATTATCAGATTCCTTAAGGTTGGTATGGGCCTATCTATATACCGGTAGGCTTATAAACTAACCAGTCTTTTCCCCCCACGCTAGAATAGGCCTATTCGAATTGGAACATAACCCTATATGTTTGTGAATGTTTATATTAATTGATTTACAACATAATTGTAACTATTGTAAAGTGAATCTGTGAATTTTCTTAATAAATTAAAAATATCTGTCAGAAAGCCTAAATTACGTTAATGTTTTGTCTCTCACCCCTTTCCCTCATAGGCTACCCATTTTATCTCTGCGCCAGGCGATACAGCTTTGCATCTAATACAACATGCATCTAATGTTGTCCAAAGCCTCGGGACCTCTTAACATGTCCACGTATGAGCCTTTCTGACTCAACAAAAGCCTAGTTTCTAAAAGCCTCGTTTCTTATAGACAAGTGAATCGCCGGTGGCCAATTAGGATAAGGTGCGCTTCCCCTATCATGTCAGTGGGTTAAAAGGCCTTTGTGGATAGGTAAATGTCGAGCAGTTGAGGGCCGATTATCAGCGGGGTTAAAGCCGGCGAGCGTCGCTGTCCATGACCAATGAAAAGCTTTTTGACCCCGTGCCTTTCCTGATATGGCAGGCAAGCTTTTTTTATGTTTAACAACATTGGGTAACCTCACTAGCCTAACAGGCCTACTTCTGGGAAAAAATAGATTCAAGATTGTTGTAGCCTATAATCGCCTAGGTCTATAGGCCTACTGTAGATACATTACACATTTAGCACACATAATTTTTTTAACTGGCCGCCCATGGGAATCGAACCCACAACCCTGGCATTGTAAACGCCATGCTCTACCAAATGAGCTACATCTCTGCCGGTCATTCCCTCCCCTACCCTGGACGACGCTGGGCCAATTGTGCGCCGCCCCATGAGTCTCCCGGTCACCGCAGAGCCTGGATTCGAACCAGGATCTCTAAGTGGCACAGCTAGCACTTAGACCACTGCGCCACACGGGAGGTTGCAGAGACCACTGCGCCACTCCGGAGATACAGAGACCACATTCCTCAACCATACTACTCTCGTATTTACTGCCTGACGTCAAGCACTCATTGTAGATAGATAGACCGATGGTTTTTATGTTTAAATGGATTTAGCCAAGCGCGGCCTTCAACAACCGAAACACTCATGCCTTGCAAATAGGAATTGGAAAAAGTCAAACTCCATGTTCTGCACCCTTGACACGTGCCACGAAGCAAATTATTGCACCCAATTGTTTTTTCATTTGTACCCGCGCTCTTGTTGTCTCGTGGTCCTCAACGATTATTTTGTTGAGTTCCAAATTACTTTTCTGTGATCGGCTGACTGGTGTGAATAATGGTCCAGATCATAGATTGCTTCCAGAGAACATTAAGACATAATTTTGTTGTCATTTGAACGCACCAAGTGCGATTATTCAACTGATTTGGTATTTATTTTCCATTTCATTTTCATTTTCACCTCACTTCACCTTTCCCATTACACTTTGGAGAAAATGTGATTATGTAGCCTATATAGGCTACCAATGCCTTAAAACTATGATTAAATTCTGAATAGAATATGAAATGCTAAATCTGGGGACACTTTTGCAACAGGTTATCAATCAAGGGTAGCCTACTGTCCACATAGCCTATGAAAATACATAGAGATTAGGTTTGGACACCCAACAAGCTTTCAAGTTTCCCATAACTAGTCCAACAAAAAGCCTACCTTTAATTTTAGGCCTATAGCACTGTAATGTATTTCGATGACGCGCTCTTGTTGTCTAAAATAAGGGAAACAGCCAAAATCGACAGAAGCAAACTGGGGGTTTTCTTTAACGGGGATAAGCTAAAGGTTAAGAAGTTAGACAAAAACATTTCTATCCAGAGCTGTTATTTGTATTCATTTGCTTTCGGGGCACGTTACATCATCTTTACAATGGCTTATAATGATTGCCTCTGGACCGGATAATCCCTTAAAATTGTAATTCTAACCCCTCTTGACAGGTGTATTGTTGGTCGAAAGTGTGTTTATCCAATGGTCTGAGGGAGAGAGGCTCCATCCAACAGCGCGTGACGATATGAAGGCTGCCGCCATGTCAAATACTGACATAGGCCCAATCCAAATGAAAGAATGCGAGGAAAGGGACGATTTGCCTATTTCTGTGAATTATCTCATTGATTGTGGGTGGTATAGGGGGCGAGCACGTAATATCAATTCATGTTAATACCCATGCATGGCTGTCAGTTTATTAGCCCTTGTGGACTGCGCTCTGGGACCAACATTTCCCAAGGGATGCGCAAGACTTCACCACCGCACCCATTGAGATGGAATTAAATCGTCTCTCTCGCTCTCCTCTTATCTGCTTTTTCAATCAACGCATGCATAAAATTGTGATTGGGAGCCCTCTAGGTGCATCTTAATTCTATCTCATAAGGGTTAGGGTCAGCAACACCGTTTATTCCGTTAGTTAGGGTTGATGGTTTCACGGTATCAAAAACCATTTTGTCAAGGTCTCACAAGGAGAGCCATTGACCCCAGCTTCTCGGAACAATCAGACAAACCAACCCCTAACTTGTGGGAGACGAAGCAATAGAGCACGTTTGGCATAAATTACTTTATTTTCGGTCGTAATGGCCGCCTGGTTACAAGCTTTCTGTGTTCGGGAGATACGATTTTTATTAGGAGTCTGGAAGTAATGTCTAACAATTCACCTCTAAAGCCCCAAAGAATAATATACTTTATCTACTCAATTAAGCATTGTGATCAAGTGACTCGTGGATGTTCTTCCATTTCTGGAAACACAAAAAGCCCCGACTGCGCTGATAGATTTGAAGTCATTTTCCGTTTTATCTGTGGGGCAGGTGGCTTTGGCTTGCATCAATCAACATGGCCCAGAAACAAGGTTGTTAAAAACCCCACACAATGAGAATGCTATAGGGCAACCCCTACATGAACCGCTTGATTAATTTAAAAGAGGCCATCTCCCAAAGGGTAGGTAAAGGTTATCCACCAAACAGTCACATAATGATGGTCAAAGGTGAAATGGGCTATAACTAAGCTACGACACATAGGCCTATAGGCTACCTCATAGGCCTAAACAAATGACAATAGATGAGAGAGCATGAGCAACTGTCACCTCAAGTGAGGTAGATAAAGAACTGTAACATATAAAATGTTTTAGAGATCCTATGGCACTAACAACAGAACAGCCCAAACTAGCCTAATGTTTTACTGATTTTAAGAAAGCATGGCCATTTTGTCCCATGACTGCAGAGCATTGCAATATTCAACTCAAGAAACAAATTTGCATCAAGTTGTATTATTACATTATTAGCCTACTGATCCTTGACAATATGAAATTAGTTCGCCAAAACACACGCAAGCAGGCACCCACGCACCCGCACACACACACACACACACACACACACACACACACACACACACACACCGTTTAGAAGAATGGACACAAACCAATATGATTCTTTCAATGCGTGATTGTGTGACCACTGTATTCGCCATGTGCGCGCATTTCCAATGATTTTCTGTTTGAAGACATGGAGTGGTGAGTGAATTAGTGACGGGCAGGGGGCGGATGCTTTGAGGTGGTCCACGCGCGGTGCGATCACGTGCTTCCATTTGGGACCGATAGAATGAGCGCTACCGAAAATATGGTGAGATTCAAGCATAAAGTGAAATAGATGATAGGCTACTGACTTTGGATATACTGGTGGATTTTTGTAGTTCTATTGCCCTGTGGAACTTCCGGAATCGGACAAGAGAAAGCTGCTCTCAGGAATAATTTTGTCATGACAGATATATCAGTGAGAATATAAGGTTGAAATATTACATGATACTTGGCTCATGTCGGTATGACAGGGTGATAGCGACTTTAGGGACGACTTTCCATGGCTTTACATAATTCCGCTGGGACCTCTGAAGGGGAAAAGAAGGTGCCCACATATGAGGATCTGGGTGCGTTCTATGGGGATACCGATGGCTTTCCACATGGCTATATATTTGGATATAGCAGTCATCTTCTGCGAAGAAAAGCTAAGGTAAGTAGCACAAGACAAAAATTAAGTAAACTGCCAAAATAAAAAATAAAAATTGCAACTAAGGTATTGAAAAAAATGGTAATTTGTTGTTGATTGAACGGTAAAGAAGTCCATGCGTCTTTATCAGAGAAGTTCACCTTTGTTTGCTAATGACTCGTGGTAGCCTAGATCAAGATTCAGCACCATGAACAGCACCCGTGCTTCCGAGGAAAACGTCTTGCTTTTTTGCGGTGCTGAACTTCAAAGCAAGCACTCTCTCTTTCATAAAACAGACAGGCTACGGAACAGATACAATCCCAAACAGAGTAGGCTATCATGTCTGCACGAGTATGCCTTTGAAAGTGAGAAAAAGTTTTAGTGCAACATATACAAAACCAGTCAAAAGTTTGGACACACCTACTCATCCCAGGGTTTTTCTTTATTTTTTACTATTTTCTACATTCTAGATGTATAGTTAAGACATCAAAACTATGAAATAACACATATGGAATCATGTAGTAACCAAAAAAGCGTTAAACAAATCAAAATATATATATTTTATATTTGATATTCTTCAAATAGCCACCCTTTGCCTTGATGACAGCTTTGCACACTCTTGGCTTTCTCTCAACCAGCTTCATGAGGTAGTCACCTGGAATGTATTTCAATTAACAGGTGTGCTTTGTTAAAAGTTAATTTGTGGAATTTATTTCCTTCTTAATGACTACTGACCCGTAGCACTCACGTCTGTAGCCATGAAGTGCTTTGAAAGGCTGGTCATGGCTCATATCAACACCATTATCCCAGAAACCCCAGACCCACTCCAATTTTCAACATCATAGTGCCCTCAAAGCTCATCACTAAGCTAAGGACCCTGGGACTAAACACCTCTCTCTGCAACTGGATCCTGGACTTCCTGACGGGCCGCCCCCAAGTGGTAAGGGTAGGTAACATCACATCTGCCACGCTGATCCTCAAAACGGGTGCCCCTCAGGGGTGCGTGTTGAACGCTGAGCTGTAGTCAATGAATAGCATTCTCACATAGGTGAGATTGCATCATCTGTGGATCTGTTGGGGCGGTATGCAAATTGGAGTGGGTCTGGGGTTTCTGGGTAATGGTGTTGATATGAGCCATGACCAGCCTTTCAAAGCACTTCATGGCTACAGACATCAGTGCTACGGGTCGGTAGTCATTTAGGCAGGTTATCTTAGTGTCCTTGGGCACGGGGACTATGGTGGTCTGCTTGAAACATGTTGGTATTACAGACTCAGTCAGGGACAGGTTGAAAATGTCAGTGAAGACACTTGCCAGTTGGTCAGCGCATGTTCAGAGTACATGTCCTGGTAATCCATCTGGCCCTGCAGCCTTGTGAATGTTGACCTGTTTACAGATCTAACTCACATCGGCTACGGAGCGCGTCCAGGTTAGAGTCCCACTCGTTGAAAGCTGCAGCTCTACCCCTTAGCTCAGTGCGGATGTTGCCTGTAATCCATGGCTTCTGGTTGGGGTATGTACGTACAGTCACTGTGGGGACGACGTCATCGATGCACTTATTGATGAAGCCTTTGACTGATGTGGTGTACTCCTCAATGCCATCGGAAGAATCCTGGAACATATTCCAGTCTGTGCTAGAAAAACAGTCCTGTAGCTTAGCATCTGCGTCATCTGACCAATTCCTTATTGACCAAGTCACTGGTGCTTCCTGCTTGAGTTTTTGCTTGTAAACAGGAATCAATAGGATAGAGTTATGGCCAGATTTGCCAAATGGAGGGTGAGGGAGAGCTTTGTACGCGTCTCTTTGTGTGGAGTAAATGTGGTCTAGAGTTTTTTTTCCTCTGGTTGGACATTTAACATGCTGGTAGATTAGGTAAAACTGATTTAAGTTTCCCTGCATTAGGATGAGCGTTTTTCTGTTTACTTATGGCCTTATACATCTGTTTCCTCCAGCATCTTCACAAGGTCCTTTGCTGTTCTGGGATTAATTTTCACTTTTCGCACCAAAGTACGTTCATCTCTAGGAGACAGAACGAGTCTCCTTCCTGAGCGGATGTCACGCCCTGGCTCTGGGGACTCTTATATGTTGAGTCGGGGTGTGGAGCTTCTATGTGTTATTTTCTATGTTGTGTTCTAGTTCGTGTTTTCTATGTTGGCCAGGGTGGTTCCCAATCAGAGGCAGCTGATTCTCGTTGTCTCTGATTGGGAACCATACTTAGGCAGCCTGTTGGCACTTTTGTTTTGTGGGATCTTGATCCGTAAGGTTTGTGTTTAACCCTAGGACTTCACGTATCGTTTATTGTTTTGGTTCGTTGTGTGTACACTAATAAAAGAATGTACGCTTATCACGCTGCGCCTTGGTCTGCTGCTTACAATGATTGTGACAGCGGAATGATGGCTGCGTGGTCCCATGGTGTTTATACTTGCGTACTATTGTTTGTACAGATGAACGCGGTACCTTCAGGCGTTTGGAAATTGCTCCCAAGGGTGAACCAGACTTGTGGAGGTCTACAATTCTTTTTCTGAGGTCTTGGCTGATTTCTTTTGATTTTCCCATGATGTCAAGCAAAGAGGCACTGAGTTTGAAGGTAGGCCTTGAAATACATCCACAGGTACACATCCAATTGGCTCAAATTATGTCAATTAGCCTATCAGAAGCTTCTAAAGCCTTTACATCATGTTCTGGAATTTTCCAAGCTGTTTAAAGGCACAGTCAACTTAATGTATGTAAACGTCTGACACACTGGAAATGTGATACAGTGAATTATAAGTGAAATAATCTGTCTGTAAACAATTGTTGGAAAGATTACTTGTGTCATGCACAAAGTAGATGTCCTAACCGACTTGCCAAAACTATAGTTTGTTAACAAGAAATGTGTGGAGTGGTTGTAAAACGAGTTTTAATGACTCCAACCTAAGTGTATGTAAACTTCCGACTTCAACTGTACATCCCCGATATCTCCGTCTCTTTCTCATGCGAATGACAGGGATTTGGGCCTTGTCAGGTGTCTGAAAAAATCCTTTGCGTCCGACTCGTTAAAGAAAAAATCTTCGTCCAGTACGTGGTGAGTAATCGCTGTCCTGATATCCATAAGCTCTTTTCGGTCATAAGAGACGGTGGCAGAAACATTATGTACAAAATAAGTTACAAATAACGCGAAAAAACACACACAATAGCACAATTGGTTAGGAGCCTGTAAAACGGCAGCCATCTCCTCCGGCGCCATTCAAGGGTTTTAACCATGGTCTGAGGCTATACAGTGATCTTATATATATTTTGGGTTATGATGGGGTATGACAGGCATTTATAAGTTATATTCTTCAAGAAACAATGGGTATATATCAGCAATTGTTTCCCGATAACGCATTCGAGAAACACAGATAGGCTTCGGTGTTGCTGTCATTCATTCCTCATATATCAGATATCAATTTTTATACTGTGAGCCGACATCAGTAATCCATAATGAATGATTGTGTTTCAGATAATGGCCAGATGAGGGCGACAGAGTAATAAGAACCAAGGTTGTCTTGTTTCAACAGGTGGTGTAGCAGCCTACCCAACCCAAGTACATTAAGTAGCCTACTACTGAGGAAGGGATGTCTTCACTATGAGTAAATACATGAGATCACACAGGTAAACAAAATAAATGCAAATGGTTCCTGATTACATAGGTGAGTTGACTGTAAACGAGTAGCTTCAATAAACAGACCAAGCTCTCTACATCCTCACTGTATATGTGCTTATAAATTATTAATATATACCCATTGATTCTTGAAGAATATAACTTATAAATGCCTCATCAGCTTAGTTCAACTGTCATAACCCAGAATATATATAAGATAACTGTATAGCCTCAGACCATGGTTAAAACTATACATTTTATATCGTGGATGGTCAGTCCTTGCATCCATAGCTCTGTCTATGAAATTGAGAGTGGTTATACAGTGAGGGAACAAAGTATTTGATCCCCTGCTGATTTTGTACGTTTGCCCACTGACAAAGACATGATCAGTCTATAATTTTAATGGTAGGTTTATTTGAACAGTGAGAGACAGAATAACAAAAAAATCCAGAAAAACGCATGTCAAAAATGTTATTAATTGATTTGCATTTTAATGAGGGAAATAATTATTTGACCCCTCTGCAAAACATGACTTAGTACTTGGTGGCAAAACCCTTGTTGGCAATTACAGAGGTCAGACATTTCTTGTAGTTGGCCACCAGGTTTGCATACATCTCAGGAGGGATTTTGTTCCACTCCTCTTTGCAGATCTTCTCCAAGTCATTAAGGTTTCGAAGCTGACATTTGGCAACTCGAACCTTCAGCTCCCTCCACAGATTTTCTATGGGATTATGGTCTGGAGACTGGCTAGGCCACTCTAGGACCTTAATGTGCTTCTTCTTGAGCCACTCCTTTGTTGCCTTGGCCGTGTGTTTTGGGTCATTGTCATGCTGGAATACCCATCCACGACCCATTTGCAATGCCCTGGCTGAGGGAAGGAGGTTCTCACACAAGATTTGAGGGTACATGGCCCCGTCCATCGTCCCTTTGATGCAGTGAAGTTGTCCTGTCCCCTTAGCAGAAAAACACCCCCAAAGCATAATGTTTCCACTTCCATGTTTGACAGTGGGGATGGTGTTCTTGGGGTCATAGGCAGCATTCCTCCTCCTCCAAACACGGCGAGTTGAGTTGATGCCAAAGAGCTCCATTTTGGTCTCATCTGACCACAACACTTTCACCCAGTTCTCCTCTGAATCATTCAGATGTTCATTGGCAAACTTCAGACGGCCCTGTATATGTGCTTTCTTGAGTAGGGGGACCTTGCGGGCGCTGCAGGATTTCAGTTCTTCACGGCGTAGTGTGTTCCCAATTGTTTTCTTGGTGACTATTGTCCCAGCTGCCTTGAGATCATTGACAAGATCCTCCTGTGTAGTTCTGGGCAGATTCCTCACCATTCCCATCATCATTCCAACTCCACGAGGTGAGATCTTGCATGGAGCCCCAGGCCGAGGGAGATTGACAGATATTTTGTGTTTTTTCCATTTGCGAATATTCGCACCAGCTGTTGTCACCTTCTCACCAAGCTGCTTGGCGATGGTCTTGTAGCCCATTCCAGCCTTGTGTAGGTCTACAATCTTTTCCCTGACATCCTTGGAGAGCTCTTTGGTCTTGGCCATGGTGGAGAGTTTGGAATCTGATTGATTGCTTCTGTGGACAGGTGTCTTTTATACAGGTAACAAACTGAGATTAGGAGCACTCCCTTTAAGAGTGTGCTCCTAATCTCAGCTCATTACCTGTATAAAAGACACCTGGGAGCCAGAAATCTTTCTGATTGAGAGAGGGTCAAATACTTATTTCCCTCATTAAAATGCAAATCAATTTATAAAAATTTTTACATGCGTTTTTCTGGATTTTTTTGTTGTTATTCTGTCTCTCACTGTTCAAATAAACCTACCATTAAACTTATAGACTGCTCATTTCTTTGTCAGTGGGAAAACGTACAAAATCAGCAGGGGATCAAATACTTTTTTCCCTCACTGTATTTCTCCAGCCCCATCACTTTAGTGAAACAGGGGTGGGGAAAGGCTTCTTTAATGTTTCAATTAAGGGTTCCAGCTTTAAAGGTGCAAAATGCATAAATCGTTCCACCATTTCCTCTTTGCTAAAATTCTAATAGTTTGCCTAATTTCAGTTTATATGACAAAACAATAAGTTATTGTGTGGAGAATCATTGTACCATCTAACCCTCTGTGAAATATATTTTCCATAACGACAAATATTGTATTTTCCGCTGTTCAAAGCTGTATAAGAGCGTCTGCTAAATGACTAAAATGTAAATGTATACAAAACCGAAAGTAAAAGACGCAAAAAACTAAACTTAAGAACTGGAACCATAGAAATAACGTGCATAGAACAGATCTACCGCTTTTTAGACTTGCTTTCAATGAGAATGTCAGATATATAACTCACATTTACAGTGGGGAAAAAAGTATTTAGTCAGCCACCAATTGTGCAAGTTCTCCCACTTAAAAAGATGAGAGAGGCCTGTAATTTTCATCATAGGTTCAAGTCAACTATGACAGACCAAATTAGAAAAAAAATCCAGAAAATCACATTGTAGGATTTTTAATGAATTTATTTGCAAATTATGGTGGAAAATAAGTATTTGGTCAATAACAAAAGTTTCTCAATACTTTGTTATATACCCTTTGTTGGCAATGACACAGGTCAAACGTTTTCTGTAAGTCTTCACAAGGTTTTCACACACTGTTGCTGGTATTTTGGCCCATTCCTCCATGCAGATCTCCTCTAGAGCAGTGATGTTTTGGGGCTGTCACTGGGCAACACAGACTTTCAACTCCCTCCAAAGATTTTCTATGGGGTTGAGATCTGGAGACTGGCTAGGCCACTCCAGGACCTTGAAATGCTTCTTACGAAGCCACTCCTTCGTTGCCCGTGCGGTGTGTTTGGGATCATTGTCATGCTGAAAGACCCAGCCACATTTCATCTTCAACGCCCTTGCTGATGGAAGGAGGTTTTCACTCAAAATCTCACGATACATGGCCCCATTCATTCTTTCCTTTACACGGATCAGTCGTCCTGGTCCCTTTGCAGAAAAACAGCCCCAAAGCATGATGTTTCCACCCCCATGCTTCACAGTAGGTATGGTGTTCTTTGGATGCAACTCAGCATTCTTTGTCCTCCAAACACGACGAGTTTAGTTTTTACCAAAAAGTTATATTTTGGTTTCATCTGACCATATGACATTCTCCCAATCCTCTTCTGGATCATCCAAATGCACTCTAGCAAACTTCAGACGGGCCTGGACATGTACTGGCTTAAGCAGGGGGACACGTCTGGCACTGCAGGATTTGAGTCCCTGGCGGCGTAGTGTGTTACTGATGGTAGGCTTTGTTACTTTGGTCCCAGCTCTCTGCAGGCCATTCACTAGGGCCCCCTGTGTGGTTCTGGGATTTTTTGCTTGTGATCATTTTGACCCCACGGGGTGAGATCTTGCGTGGAGCCCCAGATCGAGGGAGATTATCAGTGGTCTTGTATGTCTTCCATTTCCTAATAATTGCTCCCACAGTTGATTTCTTCAAACCAAGCTGCTTACCTATTGCAGATTCAGTCTTCCCAGCCTGGTGCAGGTCTACAATTTTGTTTCTGGTGTCCTTTGACAGCTCTTTGGTCTTGGCCATAGTGGAGTTTGGAGTTTGACTGTTTGAGGTTGTGGACAGGTGTCTTTTATACTGATAACAAGTTCAAACAGGTGCCATTAATACAGGTAACGAGTGGAGGACAGAGGATCCTCTTAAAGAAGAAGAAGTTACAGGTCTGTGAGAGCCAGAAATCTTGCTTGTTTGTAGGTGACCAAATACATATTTTCCACCATAATTTGCAAATAAATTCATTAAAAATCCTACAATGTGATTTTCTGGATTTTTTTTCTTCTCAATTTGTCTGTCATAGTTGACGTGTACCTATGATGAAAATTACACGCCTCTCTCATCTTTTTAAGTGGGAGAACTTGCACAATTGGTGGCTGACTAAATACTTTTTTCCCCCACTGTATATCACCCAACAAGTTACATATTGCAGCTTTAAGGATGTGGTTCAGAAATTGAAACAGTAGGTTAATTCTTGTCATCAGGAGGGAACACTTTTGATATACATTTTGGCAAAGTAATAAGAGTTTTATTACAGTCAATCAATACAAAATTATACTGTTTAATCTCTATTTTTCACGATCTCTATTATGTGCAGTCGAATTGTGAAACTGAAGTTGCATGACAGAGCGCCCCATATCCCCTAGTCATCAACCATCCTATCACAAAATTAGAGTGTGTTGAGACTGACTCCACCCATCCCATGTAGGCTATTACTTCATCCGACAGAACATCCCACCAAGTTGAATTAATAACTTCACTCCTATCGCTGTCAGTCGCGCTGTGGGAATGAATTAAACTGCCAAGGGACCACTGCGAGGACTATCTTATCACCATACATTTTCCTGAGGGATTTACCAAGCTATGGAAGGGCCAACTCGTCACCAATAAACGTGGGAACTGTAGGCAATAACATTAGATAGGCTGAAGGTTCGATCGAAAAAGTGTGTGAGTTGGTAAGTACTCACAGTATGGGAAAACAGCTCGAGGACGCAAACCAGACTACAGGAGATATACGGTGAGGCACCTTGAGTAAATCGATGGATGACATTTCAGATGTCTGAGATGAGTTGACTATTCAATTTATTTGCTATGCATTGTCTAAAGTAAAACATCAGTCCCTGACTATGGGCTATCCTTTTTGTTTATATGGAGACCTTTGCATATCACATTTAAAGGGGCAATCTGCGATTGATGCATAAATTTTTGAACTTTTAAATGAATCATTTATATTAAACTCTTTATCCTTGAAGAATATAACTTATAAATGCCTCATGTGCTTAGTTCAACTGTCATAGCCCATCAGAACCCAAAATATAAGCCGGTTTTACTACATTATTTGTAAAAAATAAATGCCATTGTTAACAAACATTTTATAGCCTCAAGACATAGTTAAAACTATAATTTTGATCTCATGGATGGTCAGTCCTTGCATCCATAGCTCTGTTTCTGAATTTGAGGGTGAATACATTTCCTCAGCCCTATCCCTCAGCTGTTTACCAAATCATTGGCGGGCAGCTTTGCCCACTTTGTTGTTGTTTGAACAGCAGATTGCCCCTTTAACCTATCACCTTAAACCTAATTGCACTGGTGAATGTGATTTTCTACACCAGTGCATTATTATCAAATACAAGTCTCCATCGTACAGGTGTGCAAATGACTGCTTCTTACTGTATCGGGAACTGGTAAGCATACAGACACGTCGCTTAAAACTTAGTAAAGTTGTATTTTCTTCCCTGTTTTAAAAGGTTGTTGAGGGAGAGAACCAGATATCTCTGGGTGTCAATCCAAGGAAGAGGCTTTACTCGGTGCCGGCAGAGGATGTCGAATATGGCGGCCGGCGAAACCCAGAGGGCGCTGGGTCAGTGTCCATGATGGAGTTGAGTCACTACGGGGAAAAGGGAGTAGGCGAGGGGACCTTGTGCCAACGATGTCAGATCATCGCTACAGAACTGAACAGGAAAGCACTGGCGTTGGCTGACCCTGCATCACTGAAGGTTTGTAACTTCGACACACAAATGTCCAAACAATGTTGTCAAACATGCAGTTCTGCTTTTATATAGGAAACATTTTAATCATGGTTTTAGGCGTATAGATGCAGTCACTGCATGGTTTAAACACCCACAACAAAAAGCTCAAGTACAGTTGAGAGCTTACAACTTTCAGACAGCCATGTAATTGCTTCAGATAGACATGCAGCCTATGATTATAACCTACACATAAGGGTTGTTTTTAAGGCTACGAACCACGATCATAGGACAATGTAGAAGTGTGGAGAGGCATTTGACACTGAGGTCCTTTGTCAGGTTTTTATAGCCGAGTATAAACCTCAAAGAGCACTCCTGTCCCAATTGTGGTTTGGGACATTGCTTATGGGCCCATTGCCCATAGCGACAGTGCTTTCTGTCCTCATCTCTTCAGAGCGAAGGTAGACCTGTCTGATTCGTTAGCTGTACCCAGCTAGTGTGCTGTGTGTGTGAGAGAGAGTCACAGAGAAAGTTAGAGATAGAGAACGTTAGAAAGAGAGAGAGAGAGTCTGAGAGAGAGGTATAAGCAGAGCTAGAGGGAGAGAGTTTTTGCACTGCCCATGTCGTGGAAAGGGAGAATGAAAATGGAACCATCCATTTTTCAAAACTTTCCAGTTCACACCCTAAAAAAACCTCTGTCTTGTGTACTTCACAGGAGGCTGCTGAGGGGAGGACGGCTCATAATAATGGCTGGAAGGGAGTAAATGGAATGTGTTTGGTGTACAGTATTTGATACCATTCCACTAATTCCGCTCCAGCCATTACCATGAGCCCGTCCTCCCCAATTAAGGTGCCACCAACCCCCTGTGGTGTACTTGTCAACAATCTTTTTAAACTCCATGCTTCCTATATCTGACCCCTCCTCCTCTACCAAGGTACATTTTCATGTAACCCGCTTTGGTTTACATGCTGTATAGCATGTGATTTCTGCTCCTCTCAGGAGTCAAGATATGTGTCCCAAATGGCACCCTATTATCTATATACTAAAAATAATGCACTACATAGGGAATAGGGTGCCATTTGGGATGCGCCTAAATTATTTGCCCAGCACGCAAAGGTGACCTACTCAGCAAGTGCTTAACGAGCTCATTATTGTGAGTGATCCCCATCAGCCACGGAAGGAAGTGCTGAGCGTCAGAAACAGAGCCAGTCATACCCTTTATTATAACTAAGGGTATCCAGATAACGCTGATAAAACGTCACTTTTACGTATGTAACAATGGCAGTTCTGAGAAGACTGCTTTGGTTAAGGAGTTGGATTTTTGAAGAGGATTTCACAGATTACGATAGACTTCACAGGTTTCACATTATTGCATGAACTTCTGTTGAAGTAATGGAAATTCCATTAAATGTGGAGTATTTGGACACATTGTGAAGTGTGATGAAAACAGGAGTAAAATGTATTCAAGCTGAATTCATTACTATTTACCCCTCACTTCTCAGTAATCAGCTATCAAACCTATTACTACAGCACACTACTTAGATTCAAGAAGCAGATCTCTCTCCATGCTACAGATTCAGATAAGTGGCCATTATAATTGATCCTGGAGCTGATTTAAAGTCAGTTTTGTGGCTTTCCTCTCTATGTGGTAAAGGTAAGGATCTGAAATTAAGCCCACCTTGACTCCATGCTCTATCGGTGGAACAGGCCAGCTCACTCTCTCACAGGATGGGGTTTTCGGCCCATGCGTGATGGTATAGGGGCATGTCTCGTATCAGGCAGAACTGTGATTATCACCCCCCCTCCCTGGGCCCATGGATAGTTTAGTCTGGCTTGGAGTCTGGGGGGCAACATTTTCCTACCGGGAGCTCCAATACTGTACCACGCAATTGTATCGCGCTCTTTACTAAATCTCTGGTTAAAGTAAAGTTTGTTCTCACAGAAATTGTTCAAGGAAAGATCACTCGACCACAGGTTTCTTTGCGGCAGGAAAGTGATGCCCTGGGTGTGTGGCTTGGTGTGATGTGGGTTCAGGTCACACCTCATGCGTGGCCTGCCTGCCTCAGACGCTGGTTGTATTTCAATGGCTTTTTCCCCTCCTTTGCTTTGTGCCCATGATATGTGAAAGGATTGGATAGGTAAGAACCTAATTGCTTTAACCCCATCATGTCCTTTTAGATCAATGGTCAAGAAGGAAAGGAGATTAAGACAGGAGGCTATTCAAGATTATCGGGACATGGCCTACAGCTTTGTCTGTCTCAAAATGGCACCATCAACAGAAAAGGGACAGACAGTGCTTTGAGTCTGTTTTGCCCTCACTTGGTTTTTATGTTGCCGCAACTTTTATGTTTTGTAGGTACACACGTGTGAGAACTATGAGGTGCTTGGAAAGTTGGAGAAGCCACTTGTCGACGCGACAGTCTTTGCTCAGAAGAGGCAGTATGACCCTTGTAGCTTATGTTGTTGGAGAGTTCTAGGCTCTTCTAGCTCATTTTCTGCTCCCCTGGTACATTATTAAACCATGAGTGTGCTGTCAAAGACATTTTGAAAATGCATAGACCAAGGTCAAAGCATCAAGTTGAACTTACTGTGCTTACTTCAAGTGTTTCCCAGGATCTCCAAACTGTCAACAGTTCAGAGAGTATCTTAGGTTGGGGGTCATATGACCCACATATTTAATTGTCAACACAAGTGCTGAATTTCCCTGAACTAGAATGACATCACCTGAAAGTGATTGTATCCACTCTCTCCTTGATGTTTTCTTTTACCTAGCCATTTTTATATACAACAGCAAGTGCCTCATTGTCTTTGAAAACAATGCTAGTTTCAGCGTGCAAATAATGGAGAACAAAGAGGAAGTGAAACCTTGACCTTTGCTCCGCGCTGAAATTGTATTCCTTTAGACATCCTTGTCTCAATTCAGTCAAACCTGCAGTTCATTGCAGTATTTAACAACAGTCATGTTATCGCCACAATGCTGTTAGCATAATTAGCGCTCATGTAACAAGAAACAGGTGTTTTCAAATGAAGCACTGGTTTCTCATGACATCATGCCACCCTCAAGCTCTGGGAGAAAATGGAAGGAGTCATTGTCCCACTTGACTTAAGCACCAAACTTGCAACACACCTAGAACTGTTGGTGTTTGTTTTCAACCCTGCCTTGTATGATTGACACCAGTAATAAGGGTTAATGTCTTATGGCGTAGACAGAGATGGCATTTAGCATAGGGTGCTGAGGGTCCTGGTGGGATGTTATCTGGACCTTGGCAGAGGAAAGTGGCATGGATAGGTCCAAGATTGCCCATGTCCTCATGGGAAACATACTGGAATGTAGGTTTGCTAGGGGTCCAAGCGCAGAAGGTTTTAGAGCCTTACTGTATTTGCTGGTTTTGTTGTTCTCCTTTCTCTGATGTTTTCTCATGAAGGGATTATTCTCTAAAGGTCGAAACACTGCATGAATGTAGGAGAACACATCTGAGCAAATATGTTGGGAAATGGTCCCATGTGGTGCTATACCTTGGAAAAGTCATTCCAATTTCTTCTCCTAACTCTATTACTAATAGGGATATACCAAATGGTGCAGTTCTATGCAATTGTATAGCCATACCAACTATATCAATATCATCCATCAGACAGGGCCTGCAACCGCCTATTGAAAATAGCTTGTTGGAGTTTAAAATCTTAAAGGTCAGTGTGCTCCATGCTATAACTATAGGACTCCTGATATCTCCAAGAGTGATATGTATAATTGTTTTGCCGTTATCTGTTGTGGTCTAGTACTGTCTCTTTGCTAGCTAGGGCCATCTACTTTAAGTGCTGTCTGTCTTCCCAGTGGCCTACTTGGTGTGTGAACTGCTGACTGCTCATAAGTTGTTGACACATCAACCAGGATCAAGAGTCAGGGCAATTTGTAACTGGTTTTGGTAATCAGTGGCTGTATAGGGGGGGAATGGTTTCACCTCTCCTAGGCAATCAGCAATTAGTACAGGGAGGTGTGCTCTCCACCTCTGCTAGGCAATTAGCAATTAGTGTTAGTTCTTCAGTCTCCCCTGGTTTCTCAGCGGCAGCTGTAAATGGCGGTCGTATCAGTGGGGGATTTGTGGCAAAACTAAGACCATTGCCGAAAACAAAGACTGTTCTGCAGAGTAGAAGAGGGGAAGACTACACACAACTCTCTCACTTGAGTATCTTACCTAGTTATTTACAGATTATCTCATTTTGCTCTTTTGTAGCTTTGTCAACTATGTGTGTGTTTTCTATACCTGTTCGCACCTCTCCCTGGAGGCTTTACAGACTCTCCCCACCCCTTGGCTGCAACCATTCTAATTTAGTGTACCCTGCGCGCACAACCCATGTGGAATTCCGGGTCTCTGGAGCATGAATCACCCCAGAGAACATTGCTACTCCAGCTGCTCTTTCTTCATCTGACTATGTTTTCTCTCATAGTCCGAGAGCATCTGGTCATCACGGTGGTGGCACAGGTCTACCAACCTCTCCTAAGTGGAGATTTTCTCTCACCTGTCCATCTCTTCATTTGAATTTCATGCTGTCACTGTCACGTGTCCACTCAAGCTTAACATTATTGTCATATATCGCCCACCAGGTGCCCTAGGAGAGTTCCACAATGAGCTTGACACCTTGACAAGCTCATTTCCTAACGATTGCTCACCGCTCTTCGTACTTAGCGACTTCAACCTCCCAACGTCTGCCTTCGATTCCGATTAATTTCTTTCCCCTCCTTGCCTCTTTTGACCTCAGTCTTTCCCAATCCCCTCCAACTCACAAGGCAGGCCATACGCTTGACCTCATCTTTAGTAGAGGCTGCTCGCCTACTAATCTCACTGCAACCCCCCTCCAGGTCTCTGATCACTACTTTGTTTCCTTTTCTGTCTCCCTTTCCTCCAACCCTACCCAGATGGTCATGCGCCATCACAATCTTCACTCTCTGACTCTCTCTTCTCTTCTATCCTATCATCTCTCCCTTCTGCTAAATCCTTCTCCCTCCTTCTCCTGATTTTGCCACTTCGAC